AAGGGAAGGGAAGGGAAGGGAAGGGAAGGGAAGGGAAGGGAAGGGAAGGGAAGGGAAAAGGGAATCTCTTACCCAACAGCGACTTCACCTTCTTTTTTTCTGGAAAAGAGAGGACACGGAATTTTGGCTCCCAAAATTCCCAATTTGGGAACTTTTCTAATATTTGACATTGGACGTTTCCCGTTTCCTGAGGGATTTTTTACCTTCTTCCCTTTCCAGCTTCACTTTCACTGAAAAACAAGGGAAATTCATCCAAAACAGCCATAATAAATACAAATAATATAATTAATATAAATAATTCGCCTTAATTCCTCATCACTCACCTGCACTGGCATTTTTCTTTTGGCTCCCTGGTTAAAAAAAGGGGGAAAAAAGCCCTTTTATTCCAGGTTTTTTTGCACAAAAAAGAGCTCCGAGTCATCATTGGGGATTTAATCCCATCAGGAACACCCTCGGGTTGATTTCCCAAGGAATTCTGGGACACAGAGTCAGGAATTCCCCACCTTTTTTGGGCTCCAATTCCAGAATTTGGTCACTCCATTAATTTTTTAATTTGATTTTTTTGTTGTTTTTTTTTTTTATTTTACCCACATTCCTCTCAGGAATTATTTTTATTCCAGGGGATTTTTCCCCCGGGATTTTCCCAACACTTACTCCTCAGGAGGCAAAACAGAGTGGAAATCAGGAGCAGGTTGAGGCCCAAAAGCACCAGGAAACCGCTCAGCCAGGAGGAGATGGAAGGGAGGAAAACATCTGGGAAAAGGAGCGACACTCCATTAATTATTCTGTATTAATGATTTTCAAAGTCTATTAATAATCAGAGAGTTTTATTTTGGACTCGAGGGTTGCACATTAATTATTAAATATTAAATATAAATTAAATTATTAAATATTAGGGTTAAATTAAGGATTAAATATTCCACTGCCCATTTAAGGAGCAAACATTGTCCCGGGGGATCAGGGGATTTCTCCCACACGGATCCCGGGAATGGAGCCGATCCCGGGGCGATCCCGGACCCACCGGAGATGCGGATCCGGGATTCCCTGCTGACGTTGAGCCGGGGGTTGAGGATCCTGCAGGAAACGTCCAGGTCGGATCCGGGCGGGAGGGTCACGGAAGCGTCGACGCGGAACAGCCCCGACGGCTCCGGCGCCGTCCTGGGGCTGGGAAATCCCTCCCGGACCTTCCCTCGGCCGTCCAGCCAAAGGATTTGGGGATTCGGGAACCAGCCGGAGGCTCGGCAGGAGAGGCCCAGGTCCCTTTGCCGGGACCTCACCACGATGGTGGGAACGTCGCCGACGGCTGCGGAAAAACGGGAGGGTTCCCATTCCAGACAGCGGGAAATTGGGGCTGGGGGGGATTGGTTTTCCTTGGAAAGGGGTTTTAAGGGTTTGAAGGGGTTGGAAGGTTTTTTCCCGGGATTTAACGAGGGAGGGGAGGGAATTAAAGGGGAAGGAGTGGAAGGGATTCCAAGGGAATGAGGGATTCCAGGGACAGTCTGGGAGAGGGAGGGGGGAGGTTGGTTTAGGAGGAAGTCGGGAGTGGGATTTGCCAGGATTTGGGAAAATGTGGGAATTCTAAGTACTATATTATATACTTATACATTATATAGTTATAAAGTGTATATTGTACACTATGTATTTATATATTA